CCGATAACCAGGAAGAGGCAGGAGATCTCTCACCGCACTGGTTTCCAGCCAGTGTTTTCATACAGGTGAGCTGTCGCCCACCAGGCAGGGACAGAAGACAATAGAATGGCTAAGAAGTGCCTCCAGAACGTTAACTGAAGCATACGTGTAACCCAGCAAGGACGGTAGAGTTAAATTAGAGGACTGTCACACATGTTCCCAGAATGGGGACCACTCTAACAGATGCCGTCCATCTACCAGGATGATAGGTATCAGCCCGCAAAGGAAGCCCTGGCAAGTGAGGGCTAGGAACCTGACCAAGGGTGTCCAGAACCTTCTGACATGGGGTTTCCTGTTGGCCTGCATCCAGAGCAGAAGCGCTTCTTTGACAAGAACAACAAATCTAAACAGGAAAGGACTCCCGTAGGAGATCTGTGGTGGTCTGAGGAGGAATGGCCCCCACAGGCTCATGGATTTGAATGCTTGGTCCTTAGAGAGTGGTGCTACTTGACAGGGATTAGCTGACTGGGCTTTGGTGGAGTACGGCTTTGGGGTTCCAAACGCTCAAGCCAGGCCCAGTGCCTCTCTTCCTGCTGCCTGCCGATCACAATGTAGAACTCTCAGCCACCTCTCCAGCACCATGTCTACCCGAGTGTTGCCATGCACTCATTAAACCTCTGGACCTGTAAGCCAGCCCCAACGAAATGTCTTCCTTTGTAAAGTTGCAGTGGTCCTGGTGTCTCTTCACAGCAACAGAACAGTGACTGTTGGTTCAGGAATTTTTCCCTTTAGATGAGTGTGGTGACACTCATCTGTAATCCTAGCACTTGGGAGGTAGAGGCAGAAAGAACATAGTTCACAGTCATTCTCAGCCACACAGTAAGATCAAGGCCACTCAGAGCCACAAGAGACCCTCCCTTAAACCTCTTCTTGCTCCCTTCCTACCCCCCCCACCCCCATCTCTCACACATACACACACACTCACAAAACAAGCTATTTTTAAAATTCAATATTAATAATGACCAAAACTTTTGTTTAAAACAAGAAAACACAGCAATAGAAAAATCATGTCTGCAGACAGAGCCTAATTTTTCTGTAGCTCATTATTTTTACATACCCATTTAAGCCCTAAGGGAACAGATCACAGACTCTTCAAAGGACTTAATGCTATCACAGAAATGACCTTTCACTTTGAAAACATGGAAGCCAGTGTGCGGCTATCTCCCAGACACCCCGAGGAGCAAAGAACTGCGGAAAAGCAGACCGACTGAAGACGCTGGCAGAGGTCGACCAGAGGATGGAGACAGGCCTGAAGCCCACAGCGGCCCAAGCCTGTGCACTTGGCTTACAGATGCCCCGGCCACCTCCCCGAGGCACCGCGGGTAATCCAGAGAGCCACATGCCCTAGGTCAGAGTCAGAGGCCAGATCCAATCAAACAGAGGGCATTAACCCTGTAAAGTAAAGGTTATTTAAAGGAATCCATGGAGGTCAGACTCTCCTACTCCACCAGCCCACATGAACAAGCTGGATGCCCCAGGCTATGGAGATGGAGAGCAGGCAGAGAACACCCCGGCCCATCATACCCACTCCTCCTCCATGCAAGGAGACGGCCATCCTCCCTGGTGGACCCAAACCTCCTAATGGATGGGACCCTTCACTCCACATTCTGCCCATCTCCAGCCTAGTACACCTAGCACAATGCTGAGCTCAGGTGAGCACTGAGTGACATGGCCAGGCTTCACATCTCCAAACCCCAGGCCACAGAATGCCCACGGAATGTTCAGGCCACAGGCTCAGAGACAAAGCAGACAGAAGTCTGCCTCTCTTCCCGTGTTCCAATCCACCTGTTTTGGGGATACCAAGAGGCCACACTGGAACACTGAGAACTCTCTTACGCTGGCTGGCCAACCAGCAGGAATGTGGCAATGCACTCTCTGGTCTAAGGACCTGGCTTGCTGGTTTTTAATGACAAAATGGCCCAGTGTCTGGTGAAGGCTTAAGGCTCTGGGTTCTCCAAAAGGCAGATGCAGTCCAGGCTCTGTCCTTTCAATCAAGTTACCTCATTTTCTTTTCCTGAGCCTCACTGCACTTGCGTATCTATTTCTCCTGTGGTACTGGGGACCAAACTGTGGGCCTCACACTCACTCCCCAAGTATTCTACACCGTGTCACATCCCTAGCTCTCAATCAAGTTTTCTTTCTCTTTCCTTTGTGAGACAGCAGGTTGCCATGTAGCCCAGGCTGGTTCCCAACTCATGACCTGCTTGCCTCAGCCTCTTGAGTGCAGAGATCACAGGCCTACACTCCTCAATCTCTTTAAATTTAAAGACCATATGAGTTTCAGGTGTTTTGTCTTTTTCCCAAACACCTGGCAACTACTTATATCCTAATGAACAGAGTTTATGGTTTAAAGGAAAGAAAACATCTACCCCGTAAATACCATATATGTGCAGGAATAGAACCTCAATCTTATTTTTTAGAACTTCTCTTCACATAAAACACTTGATGAACAAACACAAATCTGCCACGCATCTGGATGTTCCGGCACCATGGGCGTTACTTATTTCTGAGACCCTAAAATGCAAACGCTTATTGTGTTTGTTCTAGAATAAGAAGTAAAGTGAACAGAAGTCTGCAGCCTATGAAAACACACCCCAAGAACACACCATGTGATCTCAGTGAGAGGCCAGGGAGTAGGTACACGCCAGCATTCCTGCAGTATTTTATAGTCCCGGCATTTGGAGTGAGCATTACCCCCTCGGCAGCCTCCCGTCTTGGAGAGGACAATGTGATGGATGTCTCCATCCCACAGACGGGTGCCAGGTGTGACCCCAAGCCTTCTGCTGCGTGCTGGGAACTGAGCATCTGTGGTGATCAAACGCCTACCCTGAACTCTTACCCTTCCTTCCCTGCCTTCATGAAGACGCTGCGAACAGGGAGACAGGCCCTCCCCAGGCCCTTGAACTTGGGCTTTGAGTATCCAGACCTATGAGGAAAAGCTATCTACTGTCTGAAGCACTCTATGAGAATATGCTGCTGTATCAGGAGTGAACTGAAGCACTTCCATGGTCTTGATGCTGCCAATTATCAATCTGCAAGATTATTTGTGTAGAACTAGTTCCTGTCATTATGGGAACCCATGAGCATTAAACAGGATAAATATAAGAAATAAGGAAGTCGTGGAAGAGAATGAACCCACACAAGCATCCTCTGGTGGCCCACCTAAGGAACAGCCATTCCCTGAGGGCTGGGGGTACCTGTCTTAGGCTTGGCAGCATGGTGTCTCTGCTGGAACGCCTGTGCCCTCTGAGTCCCAAAGCAGATGGCTGCATCGGAAAAGCCCATCTATGTAGAAACAGGCAGTCAGCTAGATCTGCCTGTGACCCTGCCCAGGCCTTTCCAGTCCTTCAGTCAACTCAGTCAGCTCACACAGGTGTCTGGGTCATGCAACAGTGAGCGTGGACTTGGCTGAATCCACGCTTTGGAAAGACCTCAAATGTGTCCTTGCTTCGTCTTTACAGCTCGCAGCCAGCCCTAGCGCAACTCAAGCCGTGAGGCTGGCGGCAGGGCAGCTGCGGACTACATGCTCAGGCAGAGGTGCCTAGGGAGGCCTGGGACGCACGGGAATGGGGAAGGAAGGGCGGGACCCAGTTTCCTTGGATTCGGCACCAGGAAGGATAAAAAGCAGAATGAGACAGAAGGAACAGAACAGGACCAAGGGCCAGAAAACACGTGACTGACTGTGAGGTAGAGGAAGAAAGGGATGGCAAAGTTCTGGAAGGGCCTGGCTGCCACAGGAGGGGCAGACTGTAACCATGGAAATGTGGACCAATGCTCAAGTTTATTACAATAAAAAGAGTTGGTCCCCACAGTCTCAGCTGGAGTCCGTGGGATATCCCAGGCCACTTAGTCAAACAGTACCAAGATGAGTTTCCATTTTCTGACTGGGTCTCACGCAGCCAGGCTAGCCTCGACCTGATATGTAGCTGATCCTCCTGCCTCTATCTCCAAGTGCTGAGGCTACAATCATGGCCACACACCTAGTTTAGGTACTGTTGGGGGTTGAACTGAGGGCTTCGTGCATGGTACACAAGCATTCTGTTGACTCGGCTACACTCTCAGCCCCAGTTCCCGGACTGGGGCGCTGGAAGCAAGTTTTCTTCAGGGTCAATGAGCAGCAAGGCTTTTGACCTTTACCCTTCTGGAAGGATCCCAGCCTGTCCCACTCTGCTCCCTGCCAACTCCCACCACAGAAGCGAGGGACAGAAGCGACCTGCTGTATGCAGACTTAGACCAAAGGGCTTCGGGCTGATTTCCCCCAGGGGCCACCAGAAACAGACACTTTCCTGGAGTGTCCTCCTAAGACCTCAACTCTAAGCCCACTGGTGCTCCAGAATGTCTAATCCCCGAGGCTGGAGGCCACCCATCCCTTCTGTCCTGTTTTACAGGGTTTTTCATAACCAACAGCTGGCATCACCATCACTGGCATGCCCCCTTGGCAGGGCCGGAAGCCAGATGCCCCCCTAAATTCAACTGTTCCTAGAGGTGGGCAGCCAATTAATAATCCAATAAGATAAAACAGTTCCTCAGCCTGGCCCACACTTTCAGACCCAAGTTCTAATTTCACTTTCTGGGGTTCAAAGTTTACTCTTTCAGTTTTAATACCCCAGGGCCAAATGTCAAATACTTAAGCCTTTTGTCTTAAAGACAAGGCCTGGTTAAGAATGAGCAGTTACAACCATGAGTCTGCGCACCGTGGAGTTGACGGAGCTTTTTGGAGTTGCTCATTTACGCAGAGCAGGCTGTGCGGTGTGCCACACGGATGCCATGGAGGACTGCTCTACAGCGCCTCCTCTCTTCTGAACACAGCTCTGAAAGTGGAGTGCCCCACACGGACGTCTACACACTGCACGGTAGGCTCCCGTGCCCACACCCGTGTGTGACTATTCTCCCAGAGTGGGGTGTCCGAGTGTCACTGTGTGCTGCAGGGCCCTGGCAGTCAGTCACAAGCTGGCATTTACCGTCCTGGAAGACCCGCTCCACGTTGAGCCCATAGGTGGCGCATGTCTCGTAGTACGTGCACCGCTTCAGGTCATTGGAGAGCTTCCGTGCCCTGGCGTCGTCGATGACCCTCGGGTTGGTGGAACTTATGGCATCTGCAACAGACAAGGACAGCGTGCTCATCAGCAACTGCTTCCCGTGACTCTAGAGCCCACGTGACTCAATCCTGCCATTCTGGGGGCCCCTTGCCACTCAAAACCCATCATAACCAGTGCACATATCATTCCTCCCCAAAGCTGGAATTCCGAAAATAGTTCATCCCAAAATAATAGGCTCAAGCTACAGAATGGTGAGGGCAAGGAGGCCCACACCAGTCCTGACATTTGGGAGGGCTGAGTTCAAGGCCAGCCTGGAGAGAGACTCATAAACCTATCCTTTGGGCTCACTTCTTGGTGCATCTCAAAAAAAAAAAAGTGTGATTTGGGACACTTAGTGTCAGGTGACAATACCATCCCCAACCGAGGTTCCTCAGGTACAGCCCACCAGAGCACTTCATCTATCTCGCTGGACAAGTAAGTACGTCAACATATCATTTACAGCAAGTAGGGAAAGAGGTCCTTTATAAAGGTCTAAACATTCCTTTAAGTAAACCAGGGAGGAAAAAAGTTAGAAACCCCAATTTCTCAAAGCCCGTGCGCGTCTAATCTGGGAAGCCCAGCCATTGAGCCCTACCTAGCTCACAGTTTATCCAGCCATTGAGTACCCACCCTCCTGCAGCTGCTTCACCCACAGATGAGCGCAGCTCGGCTGTGTCACAGGGGCGCCTCTGGGCCTGCAGCTCAGCTCGGCTCTGCCCAGTGCCATCTTGCACCACTTTAACTTGGCCATTTTCCTAACGCTGCTTCTCCTTCTATTTGCAAGTCTTTGGGGGCAGAGGTGGCCTAACGGGCACTGCAGGGCCTCCCCCCCACTCACCCATGTGTCCCCGCTATGAAGGGCAGGGCACCCATCCCTGTCCTAGAAGGTGCACTGAGCCCAGCAGCTCTCCCAGAACTGGCCTCCTGCCGGCCAGGTACTCTTAAGGGTGAACGGCCGCTCTTCAGTTCTTTCTCTGGCCTCTGAAACCACCCAACCCAGCCAGCAAAAAGGAAACCTCGGGTACCTTCTCAGATCACCATCCAGCCTCACTGCTTATGTCCCCAGAGGTGGCACAGGTGTCTCAGGAGCCCAGTGTGCACACAGCACATGGGTACTGACAGCAGATCATGAGGAAGTCACACACAGTCCAGTTTCCTGCCATAGGTGCCCCAGGTCCCTTAGTCCATCACCAGCAAGGTCTGAGCAGGGCCTCAGAACAACTGGTCCCATGTCGAGATATAAGGGATAAAAATGAACCTCAATCCAGGTCAAGTCCTGTGTCTCCTGACTGGTCCTTGACACATGACTACATGCCTTCCATCCATTCCTCAGTTTACCCTCCCAGAGCACTGAGAGGCAAACAGGGCCACCTGGCCACCGCAGCTCTGGTCTAGGTGTGTGTGAGTCCAACACCTGGGCTCCTACTCTGCCTCTCCACCAACAGCAAACCAACAGTGGTGTGCATGAGAACACGCAGTGATCAAATCTGTTCTCTCCAGCCCAGCTGTGAGCCATGAGTCACAGAGCGTCCACAGTGGGAAAGCATCGTGTCTCAGACGCAGGCCCACACAGCTCTTAAGATACCAGGCCAGCTGCTGGGAATTGCCTGGCCAGCCACAGGGGAAGTACTCGTTCACAAATTCCGTTCCTGTTCTAAGACAGCTGTGGGGAAACCCTGCCTGGGAAATGCACTGGCTTTAAAACACCATTTGAAGACTTTCCCAAGCAGGCACCTCAGCCACGCCGGCCACGCCGGCCATGCTGCCCAGTGCCATCCTCTGGGAGCAGGTTTCAGGGCTTTCTGAGGTACACAAACGTACAGACATTCCGCCCCTTCCATGAGATGGGGCGACACCTGACTAAGACTTGTATTATCTGCCTGTAGACTTCAAGTCATCCTTGGGTTACCTACAATGTCTGTACAGTCCGTGCACCGTGTACAACGCTCACAAGTTCAGGAGAGGTGACTTTTTCCCCCACCTCCCCGCTCGTTAGATAGGGTCTCACTGTGTATCCCTAGCTGGCCTGGAACTTGCTACAAAGACCAGGCCGGCCTTGAACTTACAGAGATCCACCTGAGTGCTGCTATGAAAGGCATGGGCCACCACACCAGGACACTGTTTTGTATTTTTGAGAGTCTAATTCTGTAGCCCAGTCTAGCCTTTATTGGCAATCCATCTTCCTCAACCTCCCTAGTGCCAGGATTACAAGTGTGCACACTAGACACATCTTCAGTATTTTTAATCCTCAGTGGCTGGGCCCCAGGAAGACAGGAGGGCTGCACTACAGTAAGAACCAAGGCACTGTCTGCAGGTGACCAGCAGAGGGAGCTAGAGGAACAAAGATGTCTTCACTTTGGTTTTAGGTTCCGTTGTAGTTTTGAGCTGCAGGTTTCCAAAGCAGGAGAGACCAACTGACTGGCCACTGCATGCATCAGAACACAGAGAGAAATAGTGTTCTCTGTGAAAATGTGACTCTATTATTTTGCAAGTGACAAGCTGAGGACATATACTCCGTCCATCAATACACTGCTTCTCAAACCCTGCCCATAGTTTGAGTCTTGACTGCACTTGAACTGGTCAATACCAGATTTACCAGTTCCAATAGAAATAACAAAAGCAGCTCAAAATTAAGAAAACCCAAGAAGAGAGGCTACAATTTTGCTTAAAATCTTGGCTGGACTCCAGTGGCCAACTCATGAGTGCAAGTCTTTGACCTGGGGTGAGGGTGCTGCCTGACTCTGTGTGACAATCCCCTTACTAAGAGGCCATGTTTAAAGTGACACGGAACACAGTTAAGAATGAGAGCCCCAGGTTCCCTGGACTGAGAATGAGCTGCTGGGTGGAAAAGGAGAGACCATAAGACCCCAGGAAACAGAAAGGGTGAGGCAAAGCTCAGCTGGGTATCAGAGCTAGTATTACTTTAAAGGGGTACTGAAAGTCAAAATAAATCAGATATTTGTTTTAATAAAAATAAATAATAGCAACTTGATTAAAAGGTGTCTTGTGCAAAAGGCAATTAAGGCATCATAATGCAGAAAACACAAGAAAGTGGGTTTTCCTAAAGCCTCTGAGGTGTGTAGGGTGGGACTGATGTCTGTCTAAGGTGAATTGACTTCTCCATAGAACCAATCAGGAAACGCCTCAGCCCCCATTTCCTGTTTCAGGTCATTTTCAAATCCCTCCACACTGAGAACATGTCCACAAAACCTTCAAAAACGCCAGTGGAAGGCTAGCACTCACCCTGGGTCCCCACCAGCACAAGTGGGATCTCGCTGGTGTTCCTGTAGTTGGCCATTCGGCTGTAGTAATGGTAGACAGTCTGGAAACTGATCTCATCCTCCAAGCTGAAGACAAAAATGACCGCATCCACCCACATGGCAAACTGCAGAGAGAAGAGCAGAGAAGGGGCAGCTGAGGGGGGTTCAGGATGAGGTGTGGCGCCACACCTCTGTGAGCGTCGGGGCGCCCTTACCTGCTGCCTGTGCACTGTGGCTAATCACTGAAGTCTTCTATGTGTACATGGGAACGGGACACCCTCCGCCCCCCGTGTTTCCACCAGGGTCCTTCACGTTCTGAGAACCCAGCCCTGCTGTTTCCCTGGGTCACTGTGATCCTAAGTGTCTATCTACCCTCTGACCTGACTGACCCTGCAGCTAGAAGGCTGGGACGTGTGTGTGTGTGTGTGTGTGTGTGTGTGTGTGTGTGTGTGTGTGTGTGTGGTGGAGGTGGGGTTAGTTCCACACAGCCTCCTCAGAACCTTTGAAAAGACTTAGTGGACTAGAGGTTGAGACGGCACTGCTCCTCTGTGCCCACACAGTCTGCTCAAAACTGTCCTGGTGCCTACACTGCCCACCACTTGAGACTGATGGCCTTTTCCAGAGAGTTCCTGGTAGAGCAGAGGCTGAGGTGTCACTAAACTCATTCAGCCCCCTGCTGGGAAATTACTACTTATTTTTAGGAAAGTTAAAAGGGGAGCGGTAAGGTTAATCTATACTCAGTCCTAGGCAGGGTGAAGCTGAGGGAGTGGGGCTTCCCACAATGCCCAGCAACCTACTCTCACAGAAGCTGACAGGACAGCTTCTAGAACCTGTCTGAGTCTGGTACTAAACGCTCTTCTCTTTACGTGTATAAACAAACAACAGAGCCCCTTCTCTAAAAGCTTATCCAGGGTAAGTGATTATGGTCAAGGCAAGGCACGCAATTTGTGTGTGTATGTGTGTGTGTGTGTGTGTGTGTGTGTGTGTGTGTGTGTGTGTGTGTGTGTGTGTATAAAGTAACACCCACCACAACAAACCGCATTCATTTAAATGTGGAATATTTACACAAGAGACTCCACACCCTCATGTTCCAATGGCACGTACACATAGAGAACCCTTCTTACAGCAGAACACACTCCTTGTCTGCCAAGCCAAGTGAAGAGAGATTTTGCCTTTGGGTGGCACTGGTCAGAAGCCAAATGCTGCAGTGATCCAGAAGGTGGAAGTATTCGGGGAGCATGCCCTCTAACTGCTACGAAACCAACATTTTTCACTTTCAACATGCCTTCACAATTCTTTCTTTCTAACCATCAAGTATATTGTGTGACGGTTCAAGTCAGTTTGTCGGGATCTAGATGGGTCCCTGGGAGATGGGTCTCTGGTCGTATCTGTTGGTGAATACCTTGACTGAGTTGAGGTGGGAAGACCCGCCCACTGTGGGCGACCCCATTCCCTTGGCTGGGATCCTGGACTGTGCAAGTGGAGAAAGGGGGCTGGGCAGCAGCACGCGGTCATCACGCTCTGCTTCCAAGCTGAGGATGTGCCGTGACCAGCTCCTTCAGCCTCCTGCCATCTTGACTTCCGGCCCTGATGGACTGACTGTGCTCTTAAGCTGTGAGCCAGGATGAACCCTCCCTCCCTTAAGTTGCTTTTCCTAGGGCATTTTATCGCAGCAACAGCAAAAGGAGCTACTATCTGAATGACATTAAGGGGGTAAAATTTCCCCTCGGTGTCTCTGGCTGTACCTCCTCCTGACTGCTTTTCACAGCTTCGCTGGAAGCATTCTCCTAAACTTAGCTGGTGTTCCACAGTGACAGCAGCATTTACAGCGGGTACTGGGTTCTTCGGCAACATCTACCTTAGTCACCACCAAGATCCAAGCCAACAGGGAGAGATGTTCAAGACAGAAAGGTCCTATGCGGCCTTCCCTAGCGGGGTGTGGGCTGTGGTTAGGTCTCAGCTCTTTTCATGGAGAAGATCATGGTGTAGATGTAGAAGACAGTAAGCTGGATAAAAGCGGTGCTGTAACCTCTCTGGATATAGTCAAGGGGATCACAGTACACTGCAAACTAGTTGTTCCCTGGGGACTGAGGTGGGCTAAGAAGCCTGGGGGGAGTGGGGGGATGTCCACGCCTGTCACTGCCGGAAACAGCAAGTGGCTACTTCCACCCAGCAGACTTTGAAAATGATGTTACTCTGGGATCAAATGGGGGGGGGGGGACGACGACAACACGGGACAGGACAATTTTTTCAAAGCACAGAAATTTCTAGAAGCCACCCTGACAGTCTGTCACACAGATGCATCTGCTTTTTCTTCCTTCTTAAAAACTTAAAAAATCAGCCACACAGACCCAAACTTCATGTGTTTCTAAATTCCCTTATTTTAAAACATGACATTTCTTGTTCGGGCTTTTAGATAAGGTCATCAGTGAGCAAAAGACAGTCTGGCTTGGGTGTGCATGCAGTACTCACCTGTGCCTCAGGGGGGCCCCCTTCATCCCTAATCAGCAGCAGATAACTCTGGCCATCAACCACAATCTCCTTCTTGAACCTGCCACCTGCCATACACAAAAGGCAACGTTACAGAAGGGCACGGAGGGTGGGGGGCAGACAGACACGGGCTTCGCTTGCGGAAAACTACACTCTAGCCAGGCGGCCGCGGTGGGCTAGCTGGCTGGGAGAACTCAGGAGTCGATTTTAGACATCTCCCACAAGCGCTGCATTTTTAGAGCTGAACTCCGATTGAAGTATTTATTTAAGAACCCGTGCTCTCTTCTGGTTAGAAGGCACGGCCTCTGTGCAATGCCAGGAACCCTGGCCGAGGCGTGTATACTTTTCACGTAGAACTTAATACGTGAATGGACAGCTTCTCGTCCCCTGGCACACGGGCGAGGGCAGGCTCTCAAGGCCCAGAAATGCTTTTTCATGCTTAGCAGCACCTGAGAACCTGCATTCTCCTCAAGGGAAACCCAGTGCTTGGGAGGGAAACAGACAACGGCATGAGGATGGTGTCTCCGGAGTCACAGGTCACAGTTAGGGAGGGATGCCCGACTACCACACACGTTAGACAAAGCTACCGATGGAACTGCACAGTCGAGACAGCGGTGCGGCCGACTGACAAGCAGGTGTTAGAGACCACACGGGTTAGCGAGAAACCACTGGGGCCTGCTGGGACGTCAGGACCAAAGGGAGGGGGACTGGCGGAGGGAGGCCCAAAGGTGGCCCCCCAACACAGCCAGCACTGGACGATGAGGTCTGCACAGGGGAGACATGTCACCTCCAGAGACACGCTGCTTGGACAAGTCCCCTCTAGTCGCTCTCTCAAGGGCTTCTGTCTTACTGTGGGGTATGCGTCAGTTCCTGGCTCTCATCTTGGGTCCTTTGTGTAGATGCCTCACAGGAACCCCAGTGAACCCACTGACCTCAAAACAAGTCTGCAAGAACCTTCCAGAGCCACTTCTGCCCCATCTCAGGTCTGGGTCACTTCATCACCCACAAAGCTAAGTAACTACATCCTCCACACCAACTCCAAGTGTCCAAGACCTTCCTTAAATAAGTGGTTACAGAGGCCAGGGGGACTGGTCATCCTTCCTACACAAGCACGCACAAATGTGAACACACACACACACACACACACACACACACACAGCCCTCTCTTCCCTTGTGCACACCTAATCTGACGTAACAAGGAGTTCTGCTTGCCTGCCTTTCCTCTTTCAACTTTTCAATGACAGAATATAACGAACCCTTCCAACACTGCGATACACAGACCCACACTTGTGCTGGCATCTCCCATCCTGAAAAGCAAGGGGGAAGCCTGGGAAAGGGTCCGGTGGAGATGTACTAGGGAGTGGGGTCTACGTAAGCAGGGACAAGATAGCTGCCCCCAGACAAGCTTTAAAACTTCCCACACAGGCACGTCAACGCCACAGGAGAACTCTGCGACTTCAGGTCCCCAAATCAGATTCTTCAGCTAGAGAGATGACATCCCTTCTCAGAAGGGCTTCCTTCCGTCACACCTGACACAGAGCAGACACCCCAAGGACAGGAGCTGAAAGCTCAGCTGTACCCACACTCTACCACCGTTACCAACTCTGTCTAAACCGGGGCTACCCCCACACCAGCCTCATCACAGCCACCTCCCTCCACCTCAGTGACCCCAGCCAGAAAATGGCAAGGATGCCATCCTGGTGAGCAAGAAGTAGAGTGTCACTCAAGCGGTGTGAGCAGCACCGGCTGGCAGGACTACGGCTAATATTCACAGTTTCAGCCAAGGGTCAGCACATGCTTCTATGAGGACATCCAAACGGCCAAAACTTGCTCACGGGGGTGAACGCACACAAGCTGGGGGAGCTGTCAGCATTACTTCCTTGATTTTACTTTTGAAATAAGAGATAGGGAACCTGATGTTTCCTGATGAGACAGCTGAAGTCAGACTTCAAAGGAAAAACAATGTTTGCAAAGCAATCTGCCATTCTTGGCGCTGGGAAAACAGAGATCAGGTCCAGGCTAGGCACACTCACCAGGGTCTGGGGAAAGCAGAATTTGCGTGGAGATTGAAAAAATCTTTCCCAGGGTCCTCTGAGATCTAACTTCAATGATACCTGAGTGACGTGACATCCCAACTGCAGAGAAATCATCTCTGTGGGTCACGGCAGCTAGCAGGCAAGCCCAAAACACACAGGTTCTTGAAGCTCTGGAGTGAGAGAAGGTGTGTATGTCGGCTGACCTAAGGGTCTCCAAGTGGGGCACTGAATTTCTTTTCTGGGTTTGGCTGGGACAGTGGTGGGGTGGGGCTGACCTTGTGTCGCTCTGCCTATGTCCTGTCCTCACCCTAGAAGTGCCACCCAGTCATCCCGGCAGCCCCTGGCCAGTGCCCATGGAGGTAAACTCCAGGGCTGGATCTGTATGAGGCTTGTCTTGCTCTGGACCGTCTGGTCTCATGCTCCTGTCCCTATTACAATGTATTGTCTCTGCACCAAGAGGCAAAGAATGGGGACCCTGAAATGTCCCACAGCAGCAGCCCTGGCTCCCTGCCCCTCTTCAGACATAAGCGCGTCCACGTACTCTCTCCAGGGACCCTCCTGCAGCAGGTGACCTACACACAGCTCCTGTCTGCTCCCTTGGACCCTGCCACAGAAGCTGGTCTAGACAGCTGGTCTAGACAGCTGGTCCACACTCGACCCTCACAGGGCTTCCCCAGCTTTACAGAAGAAGGCTGGCTTTACAGGTGTCATGACCTCAGGTGAAGGGCTTTCAGACATATCCCCACCACCTCCAAATATAGGAGGGCACCTCCGTCCACCCACAAGGCCTCTGACAGCTCTGACATCACTGACTCCCCGAGATACACAACACACGATTCCTATTTCAACACTTCATTTCCAAGAACACCCATGGATGACAGGCTTGTGTGGAAGGCTCCAGAAATACAGCAAAATCGGGAAACAAAAGCCAACTAGAGGGAAGTGGCCTGAACCTGGAAGTTTAATAATGAGGTAACCCAGCCAGGGGCCTGGGAACAAAGACTGCGAGGAAGCAGTCCACAATAAAATGGGATACTATCACCACTTGGTAACTCTGCTGAAAGAGACACTCCTGGCTTCTGAGAAACCAGGCCCAGGAAGCTACCAAAGTAACACATTGACCCTTGTCTTCCACCGCTTCCCAAAGATGGAAATATCATTGGCAGGGGGCTGGTACCTGGCTAGCATCTCTGCTCTGAGGTTGGAGACCCCAAGTCAGAAATGCTAGAAACGGGAATTATTTCGGCGATCACATCAGCTGGAGTTCAGGACTATTTGCCCAGGTTTCACCAGCCAAGCAGCCTTGACCCGAACATCTGACGTTTTCCGAGAATCAAAAGTATTGTGGATTCTGGCATACTTTGGATTTTGGGGTATCACCGTTCGCTACTAAAAATTTCAGGATATAACTAAATTCCAATTACACTGCTTGTTTGTTGTTTGGTTTTTCGAGACAAGGTTTCTCTGTAGTTTTGGAGCCTGTCCTGGAACTCACTCTGTAGACCAGGCTAGCCTGGAACTCACAGAGATCCACCTGGCTCTGCCTTCCGAGTGCTGGGATTAAAGGCGTGCGCCACCACTGCCCAGCCCCAATTTCATTTTTAATGTGGATTTTTCTTAATGGTGTCATGCAAATCTTCTCTGCTTTTCCAACTTTAGTGTATGTGCTGCCAACATACATGTAAGCACTTAGAGCACCACGGCTGTCCTATGAAGCCATCCCGAGAACGACGGCCAACCTTCTCTGATGAGTGGTCATGATTACCTAGCATTTCATTGCACTATGGTAGTTTATTTTCAAAGAGTGTCACCAATCTACACCTGACCTCTCTGGTAGGTCTCAACGACCTATGCCTGGCTCACTCCGTGTGTGTATGCAGGTGTGATGCCGGGGTGTGGGCTCACCCTGTAACTCAGAGCCCCACACAGTTGCCCCCAGGCTGGGAACTGAGACGGCAGCACAGCCGGTGTTCTCTGGCTTTCAAGCACACTTTTAAAGGTCTGATTAGGGGTGTTTCTCACCACCCAACCTCAGCCAATTTCAAGGTGACTATTCTGAGACTCTCACAGCAGGAATCGGCTCCAAATCTGGGACACCACATGCCAGATAACTGGGTTCCTTCTGCTTCAGCTCATACTGGGAGGAGCTGCCACGGTTTATTCCTCTGGCATGCTGGGCCAGGGTCCCATCTCTGTCCAGTTCTGCTTTAAGGGGTAAAAATAAGAGTAAGTGGAATTTTCCCATTCCAAAAAAGGAGCTGCCTGGAGTAAGCGCTGCCACAGATGTCTGCTGGTCCTGTTTCATCGTTTTCAACAACTGGACTGCAAGCTGGTACTGCATCTTAACAGTTCTCCAAGCAATGAGGAGTGCGGACGATGGCAAGCTGGTACTGCATCTTAACAGTTCTCCAAGCAATGAGGAGTGCGGACGATGGCAAGCTGGTACTGCATCTTAACAGTTCTCCAAGCAATGAGGAGTGCGGACGATGGCAAGCTGGTACTGCATCTTAACAGTTCTCCAAGCAATGAGGAGTGCGGACAATGGCAAGTGCCCCTCACACCGACATTGCCAAGCATCGCATTGAGGTATTCCCCACAACTGTCTTGTGACGCAATCATCAAAGACAAGCCCAGGGCCTCTTGGGAGCCATTTAGACAGGAAGGTACAGAGAGACCTTCCCTCAGCCGGCCTGCAGGAAAGCCAGAGGCTTCCGATTCCCCAACCTTCCACGCTGCCACATGAATGCCAAGTTCCACATGACCCTAACGTGACCCTGTCTGCAAACGGTCCAGGAGCCTGTGTGTCATTCTCCTCCCCCTTGGGGCTGATGTGGAAGATGCAGGGATCAGAATAAGCCTTCTCCCACTCCACACTCAGTGGGCTATAGCTCAAAACCATCCCCTGCGCCTCGGAGACCAGAAGGACAGACCCCATCAGGGTCTTATTGGTGCTGACGGTCTGGTTCTGCATGCATAAGTGAGGGCCTACATAAAGTTACGCTGAGCCTCGAGCTGCCTTTGTGGGGCCACCG